CCTCCCCCCTCTCGATGGCATGTGTTGGTGTTGTGAAACGCTCCTCCTGCTTCTTGTACGCCCTTCCTGTCCCTCTGCACACATTCTTTCTCCTGCGCACCCTCTCTCCCTCTCCTCTTCCTCCTCCCCTCTAGCGAAGGGCTTTCGGAGACACCACCCCGATTGCAGAAATAGATGGAGTGCGTCCCGTCTTCACTCGTATAGAACGCACGATCATTATGGCTGTATCTAGACCGAAAATTGCACCAAGTACCGCTAGAAAGGAATGACTGTTCATTCTATCCAGGGGAAAAGACGGTTGTAACAGTAAGAGATGGCCATTGTACCGAGAGACGCGACCTCTGAGAAGCTTTCCCTGAAACATGCACGAAGACAGGCATTTGGCCCAGGTGCGGAGAGAGTTCTGTGTTGTGTGATACGATCTGAGCACGAGAGCTAAAAGAGGAAAAAGTGGACAAGATAAACGCGTGAGTAATTTCTCTGGGGCAGCAGCAGCAGCAGCAGCAGCAGCTTCTGGCACTCACTACATCTGCATGGTTCTCTCCTTCTCCTCCTCCTCCTCCTCCTCCTTTCCTCTTGACGTCCGTCATCATCTATGTGCGTTTCTTTTTTTCTTTTTTCTTCTTTTTGCATTCAGTCCCTTCTCAATCGTTGTGCTCTCTTCTCTTCTCCCGTTTTGTTGTCTACTACCTCCTCTCTTCTCCCCCTCCCCTCCGTTTTCGTTTCCGTTCCCGCCATTTTTTCCCTTTCCGTTCCCGCTATTTTTTCCTTTTCCATTCCCGCCATTTTTTCCCTTTACGTTCCCGCCATTTTTTTGTCATTATCTTCCTCTCCTCCTCCATGTTCTCTCCCGCTCTCACTCATCTTCGTCCGTCTCCGTCGCAGGTTATTACCGCCTTTCCCCCCGAATAAAACGCACCCTCGTAATGACGGTATCGGGCCGGAAATATAGCTTGTATACACTCATGATGAGGGTGCGTTGTATTCGGGGGACCAAGAGGATAGAGCCATATGCCCCCCTTCCTTGGTGCTGACGATCTCTTACCCTCTGACAGGTTGTCAGAGCTGGCGATTTTTTATTTTATTTTATTTTAAAGCTGAGCGATTTTCACCAGGCACATCTCTGTGACTATATACATATACATTCTTCATATATATTATTCATATATAATAATATATATGTATGTGTTCATTTTCATGACGATATATACTACGAATGTGAACGTCTTTTATATACAGATACCGACTGAAGTCTCTCTCTCCTTTAGGAGTAGCAGCTCAGCTTGCCCCACTCGACAACGATTTGTGGCCCTTTTTTTTTTTTTTGTTTCCCCTTTTTCCGGCCGTGATTTGCTTACGTGTCACATGTTGATGCTCTAGCCTTCGATGCTGACGTGTCTCTCCCTCATGCTTCCATCGCCTGCACATGGTGGCAGATTTCTCAAGAAGACCCAGGTCATATGTTTCACACTGACTACTTTTTGTGTGACCGAATGTAGGCGTGATTGGACATTCAATACATCCTGCACATGGTGGCTGCTTTCTCAGGAAACACTCAGAGGCCATACTCACGCTGGCTATCCTCTGTCTTTGTGCGACCGAATCTAGCCGGGATCCGGCATTCAATCCATCCTGAGGACGATCCAAAAAATTACCTTAATGTTATGTACTGTCACCCATTTTGAGGCGTTGGGCGATCTGCACTCTTTCGATTTCCTTCCAATCTCCTATCATCCTCTATGTCTGATGCCCCAGTAGGGGTCGTCCCGATACCGACTCTCGCTCTTCTCGTCCGACCAATCCAGCGCGTCCATCACTAGGTAGGGGTCCAGATACCGAGGCGGGGCTTCTAGCTCCAAAGGAGTGCGGCGTGCCATCACTAGGTAGGGGTCCCGATACCGAGGCGGGGCTTCTAGCTCCGAAGGAGTGCGGCGTGCCATCACTAGGTAGGGGTCCCGATACCGACTCTCTCTCTCTCTCTCTCTCTCTTCTCTTTTGTCGTCTGACCAATCGTCTGACCAAATCAGAGCGGCCATGGCGGGGCTTCGAGCTCCAAAGGAGTGCGGCGTGCCATCACGAGGTAGGGGTCCCGATACCAACTCTCGCTCTTCCCACCCAATCATTACGGAGACTGTTGCCACATTAATTGGTGATGTCTGTGGGATGATTATCTCTGGGGATAAACAATTAGCTCTGGGGGTAAACAATTAGCTCTGGGGATCGAGTAAATAGCTCTGGGGATAAGTAAATAGCTCTGGGGATAAGTAAATAGCTCGGGGGGTAGGGTAAATCAATACCCCTGGCCACAAATAGCTGGCGGGATAAAGTGCTTTGTGATCGCGATCTGATAGCAATCAATGGTTTTTGATGGTAACGAAAGTAAGAGCTGATGGCGATGACGCTGGCGATGATGATGGCGCTGGCGATGGTGATGGCGCTGGCGATGGTTGTGGTACACTTAGCGTTTGACTGTGTAGTGAATGACTTCTTGTTCATGAGCAAGAAGTCATGCACTACACAGTCAAACGCTAAGTTACCATGGCCATCGCAAAATAGCGGGAGTAGAACATAAAAGAGTCATTCACACAGTCAAACGCTAAGTTGCCATGGCTCTGGGGATCCATTTAAGAGTCATTCACTACACAGTCAAACGCTAAGTTACCACGGTCATCGCAAAATAGCGGGAGTAGAACATAAAAGAGTAGAACATAAAAGTGTAAGTAAATGATGATGATGATGATGATGGCGTGTTCGACTCCCAGGCATGATAAGGACCGGGTTCTGCGTACGGCACATGCGCACAGAGTATTTTCAAAGCATGTCGTTGCGGCAACCCGCGTCCATTATTTATTTATATTGTTGTGTTTATATATATGCCCGTCGTTTGTTGTCCTCTTCTCTCTCTCTGCCTACGGTTTACCGGGCAGTTCTGTTTGTGACGATATATAGACGAGTCATAAAAGGAATTACACCTGTAGGTGAAACTATATGTATATGTATATGGATATATAATAATATATTACAGTGTGACAATAGATATGTATATATATCGTCAGAGAGAACCGCCGCGGGTAAACCGTAGGCAGAGAGGGAGGAGAGGACAACGAAGGAGGAGGTGGGACATATGTAAATATGTATCGGGGACACATATTTATGTATATATTTTTATCTAACACCCTCGTTCATCGTTTGGCTATGCGAATATGGACCGTATTAGGACTACATACGTGTATTATAAATGTGATGTAACAATAACTGTAATTCATGCACGGATTGGCCGAAGCTTATGTTATCTTTGGTTGGGTATGCTGCTACTGCTCAGTCTGCTTACATTTTTTTAAATTTGATTTTTACAGTAAGTATGTTTCCTTTCCTCCCCCCCCCCCGCGCGCCGTTCCGTTTGTCGATCACACCCTGTTGAGCAACCGCCTGGAGGGTGCTCCCGCCGTTCGCGCTTCCGGTTGCTTTTCATTGGAAAGGGCACAGGAAGCGCGAACGACTCATCTCATCTTCTGTTTCGGATATTTGCCTTGGGATAATAGCGGTTCGGTTGTCTGATTCTGTCCTCGAAACTCTCGCCAGCGTATTTGGACCCATGCGCAGGTGGATAAGGAGGGTATGCTCCCACGTACACCCACCCACACACACACACACACACACACACACACACACACACACA